GTAAATCATGTAAAACTTTTTTATAAATCACAAATTTGAAAGTAGTGGGAATTTGAACCATGTTTTCAATCAAAAATAGACCAAGTTTATTTTGATTAGCCAACTTGCCAGGCGTTGTATTGTATTGCATTTTCACTGGAACACTTTGCCGTAAAGTACAGTAAACAAGCAGTAGTTTTCTTTTTTTGAATAAAATATTCACTCAAATACATAACTGCAAATTATGTAAATGTTATAACAAATAGAAACACAACAATATTACTTTGTAACAAAGTATGAAAAAAGTTAAAAATCTGATAAAAGCATTGCATATTTTGTACTCATGTAATGACCTATATAAAACAGACAATGTATTGATAGCTCTGCAGACGTAGAAATAGTATGAATGGACATAAACCGGTTTTTACTACAAGCAAGTACACAGAATGAATGACAAAAGAAAAGAATTTACACATTGACATGAAAGTCAAGCTGACCGTTATCTACAGAACAGAAAAGGTGAGTAGAAGTCCAGAATTTATAAAATTTTGTTTCATCAAATCTATGAAAGTCACATTGAATTCTTTGAATTAACCTGCTGATACACATTAAGATCATTTTATTTGAGTTTATTTTTTCTTTTCAAACTTAACAGTACATCTAACTTGCCAAATAACAAGGCACATTAAAGAAATTAAATATAGACACAGAGATTCATCTTCCTTGCTAAATATGGTAAACGGAAAAGTATGAAAACGTATATGTGACTTATTAAATTGTAAAAATTGATCATGAGAAATTATATTTAACCAGTTTTTGACTAGACGGACTAAAGGTTTAATAAAGCTACATTCATAAAATAAATGACATATAGTTTCATTATGAGTTTGACATAAAGCACATTTGTTATTTTTATAAAAACCAATATGATGCATGTAATAAGATGAGGTAATATATCGTGGATAATTCTATACATAATATCTCGAACATTTTTGTCTATGAAATGATTATGCAAACGATGAAAAACTTGTTTGAAATCTATGCTTGGAAAAATGCTAACAACTCTTGGTGTAGTAATAATTTCTTCTAACAGAATAGTATACAGTTGTTTTGTAGTCAAGCTACTAAAGGAATCTTTATATTTATTGTTCTCTATATTTACAAAAACCTTGAGATCTTTTATACATTCTTGATAAAAAATAGGAATAAATTCTGAATGTGGCCTGATATTATTGGCAAACGAAGGCTCAAAATATCTGAGACTTAAACCGACCCAATACACAGATCAAAAAGAGTATTTTGAAGAATCCTTATATATATAATATTTTGTAAGTGTTTCAATGTCAAAGATTTTAATCTAATATGAATATTAACAATATCTAAGCCTCCATTTTTCTTGTAATTATAACAAACAGTTCTTTTGAGTGGTTCAGCTGTACCAGGCCACTAAAAATTTAAAAATAGCTTTTTCAAATTGTTTCAAATAATAATCAGGTAAAACACAGGCAGATCCTACATACCATAATTTAGAACACGCTAGAACCTTTACAACAATGGATTTTTTCTACAAAACACAAATATCTTTGTTTCCATAAATTTAAAGTTTTAATAAATTTCGTAAGAACAGGTTGCCAAATGTCATCTGAAGTAAGATTATTCCCAAATTTAACCCCCAAAAAGTTTACAATTTTCATCCCAAGATATGCCGAAAGGATGATCTGATCTATTTTTCCATTTACCAAGCCAAATACCTTTTATCTTTTGTAGATTAAGTTTTGCACCCGAGGCGCGCCCATACAGCGAGCACCAATACAGTACTCGCTCTATGAACGCGTCACAGGTACGAATACCCAGACTATCATCTGCGTAAAAAGATGTGGTACTGTACTTGTACATGGAATTAAACATCCCCCACCATCCACCCTTCAAAGACGTCTCCTTTATAGAATTCATTCTTGTGATTGATTGTATTTTGTGAAATTTGCATAATATAACGTTCGATAACTCAAATTATGTCCCTTTGATCAACGTATACATAACGATCATTGTTTTCTGTTTTATTTTATGCAAATATTAAGTCAATGTTAAACAATAGCAAGCGTGTATACTATATAAGACTTTAGAGTCGTTCATAGAGTAGCAAGTGTTAACCTCAGAGTGACTAACTGTAAACTCTCTTGTTAGTGTGAATTTATCTCACTAAACATGCGCTACTAAATAGCACTTTATAGGGCATTTAAATTCTCCCCAATTCTAATCATTGATTTGACATGTTCCACGAACAACTGAATACACTTGACATGTACCCATACCTGGTCATTCAACAAAAAATCAATTCGCCATAAAGTCTTTTTGACATTTTGATTGATTGCTATTCGGGTTTTATAAAGAGGACCATCATATTAAGATACATAGGCAATAATAATACCATTCAATCTGTTTTTGTTCAAAACAATTTTTAAAAATGTGATGTAGAAAAGGTGATAATCTTAACTTTATTGTCAATTAGATCATGTAAAACAAAAATTGACTAAGTTTATCTTAGTTAGCTACGTTATCGTATTAATAGTATTTATAGACTTACGTCAACTAAAGACTAGACGTAAACTAACGACTGTTTTTGACGTAACGTCAAACGTACAATTTTTTGTGAATAACCAAAAATCTTAAGAAAAAAGCTTACGACAATCTTACGACTACGACTGATCGTAAGATATTTTGTGAATAGATGTCCACAGTGGCCCTTTTCACAAAAAATCTTACGACTACGATAAAAATTTGAAACCTGTATAATATTTTGTTTGATAAAGATATTCACCTTTTTCCTAAAATATTATTTGCAGTTGTAATCTAATGTAATAGAAATGTAAGATTTTTGTGACCTGCTACAGCTTAGATATTTGTTAGAGAATAGGAAAATTTATGTCTTAGTCATAAGACTTTTTGTGAAAAGGGCCACCGGCTCCGGCCGTTGTAACCATATTGTTTTCAATGTTGGGGTATTGATTGTGACGTCACAATGCCGCTGCACGTGCACTGTCCCTCCGGTGAATACAGCTTCAAATCCAGTGAATATGTAGTGTTATGAACCGTTTGCGTTTGTATAGATTATATAGGGGCTATTTATAGACTATATAATAAAATATATTATTATCAAATGTTATAACGTTACTTTTCGGTACTAATTTTCAGTTTATCCGCATATTTTATTAACCCTTAAGAGCTTCTTTTTAATAAATTTTACTGTCATTTTGATATAAATTGCCTTGTTTTAACTTTAAGTATTTAAATTATTTAAACTCTGTGAAAATGTTATTTCTAAATTGATTCCTTTTTGCGTAAATTTTATGTTATTATCAGATTCAAAATAAGTGTCGAAGAGAAGCGTCATAACGACGTCAGTATACGTTCTTGCCGTGCGAGACGAGACCTAACGTAGAATATATTTTGTAATGTTAATATAAGATATAACTGAATTTAATTTTAGGCCAAAATACAAAATACATAGAAGTATAAGTATATAAAGTTTTGTTGATTATTTAAGATTTTAAAGCAGTTGTGACAGTTAGATTATCCCTCTTGTATATACATGTACCTGTACTGATGGAATGCACATATCATTCTATTTACACTGTATATAAACTTACAAAAGTTCATCTGGTTACACTAACCTTGGGTATGTTTATCTGTGTAAATAAGACCTGATATAACAGAGTACTGAACGATCGGAAGATGAACCTCAGATCATTTTATCACCTCTCTATTCAATAAAGTTTATTTTGTCACTAACATCCATAACCTTTGTGTCTCCGTGTCAGTTTTGGAATTATAGTCAGCTACTTTTAAGACATATTATACAGTTTGAAAGCTTTTAAGCATCAACACTATATCATTGATGTCCAAAGTTACTGATTTACCGAATGAAGAATCATACTCTGAGTATTAAACCGTGAATAATACATTATAATTTGTTATCTCACTTCATTTTAAACTTGATACTGTACAGAAGAAGTACTAGTGTTCAAGTCAAAGCTGATATACATGCAGATTATATAGGGTTATTGAACTTATATTGGTGAATATTGGCACGAGTTGGCATTTCAAATGCACGAGTTTGCGAGTGTATTTGTACAGCCAACGAGTGCCAATATTCACCAATATAAGTTCAATAACTCCTTTAATATATAGCTAAAACATCTCCCATTGATTTATATTAATTATTTCAACTAAATAACTCCAATTAATAAGAATTTTCAGTATCAGTATTTAAATTAACGTCTGTCCTGTAAGTGTTCAATATCGCATCATTCCAATGATCCTTATAAGCGTTATGATATGCTTATTGAGGTTTTATAGAGGCTAATACGTACTAAGTTATTAATTAATAATCTCAATTTTGCGTGAAAATAAACACATCTTACATAGCTGCCACTACCTATCATAAATTTGCCTTTGAAAGGTTGACCAGACGATATTTTTGTTTATTATCTTTTCTTCTTGAATGACAGTACGACATTACTGGCCATATAAACATCTATATTTGATAACCTTTTCATAGGGAAGATAAAAATTGATATTAATAACTTATCCCTTAGTACACTAATTTCACCTGTCTACCCTTTTAACACCTGTCAGGACAAACATGGCTTTGAATTAAACAAACTATGCACGGGAAAATTCGTTTCAGGTAAGTAATATAGTAATATAGTAATAAAGTAATATAGTAACATCATATTTATATTTTTATAATGTCAATTTAGATTAATTAATACACTTCAATTAAAATGGAATTAAATGTATCACTTCATTTCAACTTATTTATACCATATTATCCCTCGGTGTAAAAATAAAAAAAAAAAAGATTTTACTTCGAATACTTTCATTTTTAAATACTTAAATTATTTATAATGATTATAAATGAATGAAGTTATGAAAGACTTATATTTTGCATGCCCAAATCCCTTTCTTCTTAAGTATATTTAATTTTATGACTTTTTCCTTACAGACGATTTGTGATTGCTATGGTTTTAATTCTCATATTTGTATCATACCAGCGGATAAACTATAACTTTTTAATTAGATCCTTTCGTGAAAGAGAACAATTTAAAGCAATAGTATTTTTGAAAACACACAAGACTGGAGGTTCCACAATGGTAAACATTCTTCAGCGTTTTGAAGAACGTCATAACTTAAGCATTGCTTTGCCAAAGAAAAACTTTGGCGAGCTTCGATACAATTATTTTGGTGACGTGGGTGAAACATTATCACGTGATCATATCTTTGATCCGCATGGAAACACTGCATTCAATATTCTTTGCAATCACGTGATATACAATCGAACTGCTTTTCGGAAAATTTTCAGACGAAAAACATTTTATTTCACAATTCTTCGCGAGCCACTTTCAAATTTTTTATCAGCAATAAATTACTATGGTTTAACGGACGGTTACATAAGGAAAATGTTGAAGGAAAACACTTCGAAACCTATTACAAACTTTTTCAAGAATCCTCGTCGTTATGAGCCACATAATGTGTATCTTTCATTCACTAACAATCGCCAGCTAATAGATTTGGGATTTTCTCCAAAGGAAAACCCACGAGATCCTATATCTATCAAAAAATTTATCAAAGCTATAAATAATGATTTTCACTTTGTGATGATTATGGAATATTTCGACGAATCATTGATTTTAATTAAGAGAATGTTGGGATGGACATTCAAAGACATCTTATACATAAGACAAAATAAAGGACGCGAAATATTAGTCACAAATATCACAGAAGAAGAAAAACAAAAGATATACCAGTGGAACAGAGGAGATTTAATGTTGTATTCACACTTTTTGGAAAAGCTGGAAAATATAATCAAAGCAGAAGGACAAAGTTTACAGGAAGAAGTGTCGACCTTTAAAGATATTCTACGAAAGGTGTGGGATTTTTGTGAGCAAGACGATCAAGTGATACCATTGACAATAAGAAAGACGCCTTGGGATTCTGGATTTGTGCTTACATATCATGAATGTACTTTTCTTCGTCTAAATGAACTTCAGTACCTCGAGAGACTATATAATGCTGTAATCAAATAAAAAGCCATCATTATGCGCTCCTCTTCTTCTACAAATAAGGAAGATCTACAGAATCTCGTATGATTTAATGTTAGAAAATTTTCAGGACAATTATCAAGATATGAATTCCATTCCAATAGACCTATGTGTTTGATGCAAAATTCTTATGAACACTTCACACCTATATTTATATAAATTAAGAAATAAAAGGTTCATTACGCTATAATATCCCCATTCTCTTCAAACCAATTATTGTGTCACTTTCCAGCACTTTCCCTTGAGATATAAAAGGGTTATTGTCTACGAACACTTTGGTCTCTGAACATCCTTGAAGCGGAAAAGAGTTTAATTGCTCACAAGGTATTTTTAGTGTGTCTAATGTAGGTTTGTCATCGTCTGCTGATGTCGTCTCGTCGTCTGCATGAGTTGGTAAACTTAAACCGGTGACAGCATCTGAAACAAGCATGGAATAGTAGATACGTACATTTTGGCTGCATTATCTTTAAGATAGAATAAAGCAGTATAATACACATTCTATTGAAATTACCATTGATAATTAATGAATTAGGACGCAGAAAAATAGCGAATTCAGACGGGAAACGGAGAAGGGTCCTGTTTCAAAGATGTAACCAAAGCATATAAGTTGCATGTAACAGGGCTGTACACAGAAAAATAACTATAAGGGGATATTAACAATGTTTTACAGCTAGATGTGGGATTTACTTCACGAGTGGGACAGGATTTTTTGATATTTTCACGAGTGTGAAGAACGAGTGAAAATATCAAAAATACTTTCTCACGAGTTTCGCTGTCTTTTCGTAATATAGTGTCACTACTGCTCATTAAATCATAATAATGGATTTTATATCATTGGTCTTTAATTTACAACTTTGCAATGCGTTGTCTTTGTTACTAGTTGCTTGATCGCGTTTTTCCCTAGTTTTCAAGGCAAACAGAAAATACATGTAAGTTTTGAATAGATCTGCCATTTTCAAGTCCAATTAATGGGGGAGATGTTATTTAAAGAGCCAGATATACCTAAAATTCACAAAGACAATCATTAATGCAGAGAAGCAAAAACTGGATCTTGATGACTTGTTTGTTTTTTTTAATCTGGAGGTAATATAAATTATGAGTTGTAAACAAAGTTTCTTAAATTGACGTAGAGTGACAGAACTACAAAAGAAAACTTTCTATTATTATTTTTTTAGCTCACCTGAGTCGAAGGCTCAAGTGAGCTTTTTTGATCAAAGAGTGTCCGGCGTCCGTCTGTCGTCTGTAAACTTTTAACATTTTCGACTTCTTCTCAAGAACCACTGAGCCAATTTCAACCAAACTTGCCACAAATCATCCTTGGGTGAAGGTAAAACATGGAAAAAATGGAAAACATTAAGGGTAAGAGCAAAATAAAAGTATAAAAGTTATAAACACCAGTGGCAAGTATCCTAGGGAATTGATGTTAAGCTCTTTGTTAGTAAATCTGAAGAAGATTGAGATAACTGGTTCTTATCTATCAATGGGAACCTAGGGGAAAACAGAGTGTAAGTAGTACCTTACCCAGTCCCCATCTCTTGACAAGAGAACATTTAGGTACTGTGTGATATGCCCTCAGACAGAGCTGTCTTAATAATCGTTCCAATCATTAACTCAGACAGAGTAAAAGGAAAATCTATATATATCCCTTGTAAGAACCTGAACATACCATTCATTACATAGTAGGAAATATCTTTGAAATCTTCTTCTCAAGAACAACTAAGCCATTATTAGTCATATTTATACAGAAGCAACCTTAGGTGTTGTAGAATCAATTTTTTTTTTCAAATTATGACCCCCAGGGGTTGGGGGCACAACAGAGAGTCAAAGTTTTGCATAAGAATATATAGGACTCATCTTGAAAAATCTTTTGCTCAAGAACAGCAAGGCCATGCATATGATTAGTCATATTATTATAGAGGCATCCTCAGATAGTGCAGATTCAAATTTGTTCAATTGTACGGTGGGTAGGGTGGGACCACAAAGAGCAATCAGAGTTCTACATAGGAATACATATTAGGTAAATTTTTTTTTTTTTTTTTTATAAATTCTTCTGTTTAAAAACACCAAAGCCATGATTAGTAATATTGATATAGAAGCATCCTGAAGAAGTGTAAATTTAACCCCCCCCCCCTTTTAAAACTTCTCAATACTGAACTGATTTCTGCTTCTTCATAGCCAGTGTACTCAGGTGAGCGATGTGGCCCATGGGCCTCTTGTTTCATTTCTAAGATTATTTTGTATTTACCATAATTCCTTTAAATGTTTCACTTTTAAATCATATAAAACCCTTTTATTCATTTTTTTTTTTTGAAAATCAGCAACTCACTATTAGTATCACATTCATCCTACAAATCACGGCCAACAAAACTAATTTGTGTTAAAAATTCTAATTAAAGTAAAATCAGTGTATGTATAAAATAAAGCAAAATGCTGGGGCTTCAAACATTACAGGGAAAAAATTAAGAAACACACTATCCTGAGCAAAAGAGACAAGTCAGAAAACAGCCTCGGTATTTCGGAAGGCTTCTTTCTTTTCTCATTAACCATGAATCATTCGGGCCATCTTCAAAATAACTTTTGCTTACCCTCACCCGACTCAGAATGGTCGGTAGGTAGGTTGGAATTTTCTTCCCCAGAAATTTTAAACATCAATACTAAACTTTCCAAATGAAATTGTTCATGGGATAAGAAAATTTTGGAATGAATAAATAATTTCGTTTCCTGGAGTTTAAAAAAGTCTTAAGTCGGGGGCAGTTTTTAGTCATTCGGTCTGGAGAGGCCAAACAAACAACTTTTTAAAGATGGTATTGGTGTGAGTTAATTCCTTCTCTTATTGTAATTTGAAAAAAAAAGTTTTTGTCTTTTGAAAGATAATCAAAATATTGAAGAAAAGTAATGCAAAGGTATCAGGAATATCATTTGAAGATCCTACTTTACAATTGAGAAAATATTCACCTTTCAGATATATAAGCTAGTGTACAGAGGAACTTGAAGTGCAGAGAAACTAACAACACGTATATATCCATTACAAGTGATTTATAATTCCAGTAGAAACTGTCGTATGAAATAAAATGCCTAGACGAAAGTCTACCGTAAATAAGTGCATGATTTCGAAAAAGACTATTTTTCTTCATTGCTTTAGAAATGAGTTGAATTGAAAAGCTTTCAAAAATAAAGATTTTTTTTTAGATGTAAATATCTTATTGATGACAACAAAAACAACTTCATACAGAAAGACAACAGACACGGCATATCTATTATACATGCCTATTACACATTCAATGCACAAAAGTATGGGTAATGAATTCAGAAATATTTTTGTTGCAAAATCTTTAAGTTAATGTTTCCATGATTGATTACAGTAAAGACACCATGTGGGGAATTTTAGATGTTCTGTTGTTCATGTTACTACAAAACTACCATAATTAGCTTCGTTTATTGAGTACAATATATGTTAAACTTTGTTTGTTTGTTTGTTTAAAGTTCCTTCACTTATGTTGAGACGGCACCTCTTGCCAGCACCTACTGCGACACGGGACCTGGGTTTATACGGTCTCATTCGAAGGACCACGTCCAGCACTGGGATTCGAAACCCCAATGTAAGGATCACCTCCTTACTTCTCGACTCAAGAGCGAGTACAATATATATTGTAGAACCATTTCACATTTTACTGTTTAGTGTATCATGCACTTGAATGTTTATATTTCTAATTATAATCATGAAATATATGATTGTACAGTGAAAACCTGTCTAAACCGACATGCATTGTAAGACAAATTTTGTGTCGGAATAGAAAGGGCGTCGGATTGCACAATGTAAAAACATGGACAATAGAAAAATGAAAATGAAAATAAAGGTCGGCATTCACAATGAAACTGATTGCACAGGTGTCAGATTAGAAAGTTTTCACTGTTTATGTTTATTTCTAAAGCCATAATGGAAAGAGACAATTAAAAATTTACAAAATTTTAATTTTATTACGAAGTTAATATTACAAAAAAAGGAGACTATTCTTGAAAAATTTTTCTTACAGTACAGCTGTTTGACACTAAACAAACTAACATGAAAAAAAGCATCCTTAATAAAATCCTTTCCATGTATGTTCTTTTTCATCTGGGTAAGAACATTATCACTGGAACATTGACTAATCATTCTCCCAAGATTGAAAAAATGTAAAGGGATAAAAATGAAAATCCGTAAATCACCAGCCTTTATTATCCCAATATCATTTATTCATCTCGTTCAAATTGCATACCATACTTCCTCTATTGGAAGCTTTCTCCGAGAGTAATTCTTATTTTGATATTATTCGCATAAAGACGCTGGAAATTATTTTCAATGGCCACCATTAGATTCTATGCTAACGGGGATCCTAAACAATGACCTTCATTTATTTTCTCTTCTGATAATGGATGGTTGTCTCTTCTCCATTTTGTCAGATACCAAATTAGAGATAAATGGCACAATTTCAACTGTTTCTAACACAAGCGTGCAAGACATATAAATGAAGATATTGTTCGAGAGTTCTGAAAATTCTCACGAGAATTCATTCGTCAGCAGTGGTATTTAAATTACTCCAATTTGCTTGCTTTAATATGAACATTAGGGAAAAAAGACGCTTAAAACTTTTTTTTTTTTTTTTTTTTTTTATCTTTTTACTATCTCCTTAATTGTAAGGTTGGTATTTGATCTCTTTAACTTTTGTGTAGGCAAAAAAGTTATAAAAAAAAATTAGGCAAATATTATTTTTATCTGAAATTTTGCATCAGTTGTAGATACTAAAATTTGAAAATAGTTCTTTATCTTTATATATTCTAATTTGTAATTCCCGCTACAAAAAATGGGATAATTTGTATTTAAATTAATATCTTAATAAAGAAGGATGACTGATGTATAGAAACAAAATGCTGTTGAATATGTTTATTGTTTATGGGAATGGCCGTTTTACTATTTAAGAATGCTAAACTATTTTCCTCATTCAACGCCTTATACCTTATACATGTAGATACTGATTCAAATTTAATGAGCAATGAGATGCATTTGACTATTGAAAACTATTTTTCTTCCATTTTTTTTAACAATAACAACAATCAACCTAAATAAAATCAAATTGTACACGTAATGTGAGGGAAAATTGAAATCTACGATCGAAAGTTTTTTTTTAATTTCTTAAAATAATTCATTTCTCATTCAGCCAATCTTGACTTACCATCTTCAAAGTAGGTTATTTTTATCTCTGTCCTTGGCTGCCCTCTAGTATTGTAACATCCAGAAGCCCTTGTGATGCAATAAATAACTAACGTCACACCCATGACGCAGAAGAAGACACCGACCGCTAATCCGACAACATCGATCTCACTGGAATAGAAAAAATATAACTCTTCAATTATTTCCTATTTTCATTTTTTACAATTACTTTTCTGATCAAGATTTGGCTATAAAACGCATGGTTTACCGCTTTCTTTCGGTCTTTTGTGACCTATTATGGCCGTTTTGTAAAGCGTAATTTACTCTGCAAAGAAAGGTCGTCAACCTATTTTTGAATAATCAAAATTTTTATCTTGTAACACAAGCACTTGTTTTTGTAATAGTTTTTTAGCCCACAGTATAATGATAAGAAAATATATAACAGAAACAAGTGCCTGTGCCTCGTACAGATTATTTTTAGGTCCAGGCACCATGCCCATCCCGAGATTTTTTCTCACTAGTACCTTTCCTAATCTAACATATTTATACACTGCGCCATTGTGCTTAATAAACTACAGTGGTTTTCTAACTTGCCTTTAGACTGAACATCTATTTTAGTACATATGATTTTTTTTATCTGGAGAGAATAAAAAATTACTATAGAAGATTTATAGTTCTAAACAGATGAAGACCAAAACGTGTGCCTCTGATATTCTTATTAGAGTTTGAAAATAATTGTAAAACTTCTCTGAAGATCATAATCCATGCTCGTATATATCATGCATTGAATTCTTAGTTAGTTCTTATCTAAATTTTACATACGAGGAGAATCAAGGAAATGCCATTCTATTTTTAATTTCTCAAATTCCATGTACATGTATATACATATTATTATATTTTCAATAGTGAAATATTGTAATTTATTTACCAAATAAAAGTGATATTCTGACACAGTGTGAAAGGATATCAAAATAGTATTCACACAGTGTGAGAATATCAGAAGTGCGGCAAAACTTACGAATTTCCTTCCCTTCACGAAGAGTGTTTTTGAAAAGAATCTCCGACCTGTTGTAAGATAGAGTTAATGAGCAATCCTGACAGAGACTATACTGCCAAAGATTTTCCAAATATGTCGTTAAAAAGCCATGTCTACAACGTCTCAACCGCTCAACTATGACGTCATAGCCTTTAACACTATGTTATACCCCTGTCACACCGGGACTGCGTCCTCACGGCGATCGCACGGCGTCCATAAAAAATGCAAAACGCCGAGGTGAGCGCAGTAGAGTCTCCTACAGCGCCGTGACAACGCGGCGAGATCTCCACTGAACGCGGTAGGGTCGCGTAGGGTCTCCTAGAACGCCAGGGGACGGCGCGCACTTTGGGCATGCACAAAGTACGCGCCGTGTGATCGCCGTCTGATAAGAACGCAGTAGAAACGTAGTATGATCGCCGTAGCAGCGCAGTGAGATCTCCAACAACGCAATGGGAGCTCCGTACGCACGCCGTGAAGACGCACATGATCGCAGCATGAACGCAGTGATAGTAGACTGCCCCTCCAGGGAGACCTCGCGGAGTCCTTGGAGATCTCACGGCGTTTCTATCGCGCTTTTACGGCGCTTCTAATGAGATTAATTGTCTTGTGATTTTTTTGACTGCGATTACACAGCGACAACAAGGAGTTGTCACTGCGATCATTGCGCTCCCTTGGCGTTTCTACCGCGTACGTTGGCGATCACAATGCGCTTTCACGGCGTTGTTAGAGCGTTGTCAGCCAGCTCACAAAACAAGAGCAATCGCGTCATATTTGATCAGCAATAATTCTAACGTATTTGTTGCACTCCGCAGGTATGTTAAGGCAGTACCCAGATCATATTTCGGCGAATTTAGACTTTTTTCGTAAAATGTAACATTGATAAATCGGAAAAACCATAGATAAAACATTTACTATTATTATCCATTGTATAGACGTCATTGAGTCTTAGGCTAAAAGAAGCACTCCACTACGACGTCATCACGTGACGCCTATAAATAGAAAAAAAGTGAAAAGTTCAACACTACCCCGGAGATAATTCATTTCTTTTAGTGAAAATAATTATGTAAAAACATCACTGGGCCATGAAAAGTGCTGCTAGAATCCTACTCTCGTGATACAGAAAAAAATATTCCAAAGTTTCGCATGAAACCTTACCAAAATTTTTACATTTTATACATACGATCAAGGAATTTTTATCAATTCATGTTAACCACACGATTCTAGCAGCACTTTCCAAGTACTATAGAATACAATCTTTCGATACAAACAAAAATTATATTTCAAAGTATGCGGCGTAGTGTTGAACTTTTGCATCTTTGTTGTTATGGAACGACAGAGGAACGGCTGATCGGGATTTCAAAGCACTGACTATGTTCATTATAAGAAAACATGATAAGAATATATCAGCGTACCTGATTCTTAATCTTTAATTCCTTATGAATCATACATAACATTCATGGTATATGCCTTAAAACTCCCATTTCATATACATGTATTTGTTTACATGAATTCTCATTTCACTCGGCAAATATTTGATCAATATTTATGACGTCATGGGTTTGGTATTTAACCCCCGTGCTAAATAATTAGCTATTTATACCACCCAAAAACGACAAGATTTAGTTTATGTTATGTTTTGAATGATTCCATTCTTTTCTTGGACCTGAAATTAAACTTTAAAGATAGATATTAAGAAATCATTATTTCTATAGTTCACGTCATACAGCTTACTATGACGTCATATTGTGAAGGGAAGTAGGATATCTCTGGGTGTAGCCTTAACGAGGTTCGCTCCTGAGCTTTTGAGCAGATTGTTATCTTAACCTATATTTCAAAAATTCTGCATAATGTTTTAATTCTTACAATAAATTTGGATTCTACAATGCCAATTTAACTATATTCAGTTAAAAGTCCATGATTAAATTCCATACCAAAAGCATTAAGTGAGGAACTATATTTTGTGGCGGAAGGTTTTTTAGAAGAAAATGATCATTTTTTCTCTTTCGAAGAATTAAAAGTATGTTAAGTTTGGATTCCTATTTTTACATGTAGTCTGCACACATAGTTCTTTTGTGCAGTGGACTGTTTTATACTGGTCCTAAATTATCTATAAAAAAACTGTCATGAATTCTATCATTATATTTGATAAATATAGCAAATATATTGTGGAAATGAAGAAAAAAATAGCCCTAATTTAAGCTTAAAATTAGCACTATTTTAGTAATATCTAAAAATTAACATCACAGACCCCCACTTTTAATTTTCTTTTCTGAATATATACGATACTTTTAATCATTCTTCTTAAATTCAGTAAAATGTCATTACTTTCAAATGATTTTTTTTGCTTGTTGAATTTTAATAACAGAAAAATGAAAATGTTTGAGTGCAAAAAGGTCAAATAATTGAACATGCGGAGTAATTCAAAAATTTCTTCGTTGTTACAAATTTTAATGTGTCTATTTAAGATGAAATAAGACTGTGTTTGCTCACCATAATTTATTTGAACAAAAAATATTGAAGGAAAAACTTTAAAAATTGATTTATGTGTAAGATGTATTTACAGTGCAAAAAGGTCAAACTAAATGTTCTGTAGCGCCAAAAGAAGCGCATTGACCCCCATTTTTTGTTTTGATTTTTAATAAAGCTATGTGTATAAATTCTAAAAATATACTTGATAAAAAATTCTCATTACTTTTGATGGCAGGATCCAACCTCCTTAAGGTCAAGATCTAGTAAATGATTTTAGACTGCCTTTTGATGCTAGATCCATTATGACGTCATAATCAAATTAAACTTTCTTTTTCCCGTACTTTACAGCTGTGAAAGAATTATGTAGAAAATAAAGTACTTTTCTGGAACTCAATTTGAAATCATGTGAAAGGCATAGGCGCTTGGGTCAAGGATAATGTATATTTTCTATATAATGTATTGTCGAGGAAATTCGAACTATATTCGTAACATTTTTTTAAGCGCACAGTGGTTATTTTTAGTTTTTTGTAAATCTTTCTGCTTGATATACACTAGAATATCACAGAAATTTGATATTATGCACGTTTTAAGAATGACATATTCCTACTGTATACTAAGTATACAGTAAGAATATGTCATTCTTAAAACGTGCATAATATCAAATTTCTGTGATATTCTAGTGTATATCAAGCAGAAAGATTTACAAAAAAAACAAAAAATAACCACTGTGCGCTTAAAAAAATGTTACGAATATAGTTCGAATTTCCTCGACAATACATTATATAGAAAATATACATTATCCTTGACCCAAGCGCCTATGGTGAAAAGTAATCCCGAAACCTATATTCAATTTAATATTATTTTAAAGAAGAGGCTATGAACATACTAAATATCGTTTTCTGAGAGACTGTAGGCAATCTGGAATCATTTAATTTGTCTGATATGGAAAAAACTCCCATATTCATGACTGATTTTCTTAATTTTTCATTGAAAATGAAAGTTTAAGATATGATTTTTCGTCTTGTTTACCTACAAATTATGCCCCGAAACACCTTATCTGACCAAGCTATATACTTATAAAGCTTCATTTAGGGAATTTATTTCTCAAATTTGAGAAATCTGTAGGCTCGTTTTATTTACTAGATCTTGACCTTAACATACCCGCGTCCTGGCCAGGAGCATGGGATTAGAATTGGGAAGTAAAAATTACACCAGAACCTGTTGTGTTGTTCAATGGAGTTGCGATAGAATTACTTAAAATCTATAACAACTTTTCAGTGTGTTTATTTTTTACATTCGTAATAATATCAAAGAAAAAAAAACACATCTAAATTGATATAATTGAAAAAAGAAGAGTTTTAATTATAAAACTAACAGTAATTTAGTACTAAATTATTCAAATATATCATTTTTGAAGTCTTTTCGTTATGTGACTCGAATCTTTGAATAATTTACTTTGTACATGCTGTTGGACACGTCTGATTGAATTTTTGTGATATAACATGTAGGGAGAGGGCGAATTAAGTTTTTAGAACTTGTGCCCAATCCCATTGTATATATTTATTGCAATAAAATATGTTCAAATCAAATCAATCTTTGAAAAAAATGTGTTACACTCCTTATGAATATATATCCATAGTGAAGAACGCATCGTGGACGTATTGTGAACGCAGCAAGCGCAGTGAGAACGCCGTGAACGCTAGGTGACAACTCCTAACACGCCGTAAAAGATCCGCGGAAGCGCAGTCAATCGCGAAGAGATCTCCGTTGGGAACGCAGTAGCAAGCCGCGAGAACGCCGTAGAAACGCGTGGGTCACCGTAGGGACGCAGTGACATCTTCACATTATAAAAATTTTACTGAAATTTGTGCTATTTCCCTGCGATTCCATTGCGATTTTAACATTTTTACAACGCCGTAATGACTCCGTGTGGACGCAGCTTGGTGTGACAGGGCCCTTACGATAAGACAGAGGCAAAGGGAAAATCTAAGAAAATGTAAGAAACAGAAAATTCAATGTTTTGTAGATGAATATGGAATTTATTTCACTCGTGAGACAGGATTTTGATATTTTCACTCGTGCTTCGCACTCATGAAAATATCATAATCATTTAATAAATAATATATATCTTGTAATATTTCTTTATCATTTTTTGCACTGAAGAATTGAAATACATATTGCAATTCAATAATAATTACTTAATTAATTAAATAAGTAATGACTTAATTTCCTATATACGTCAATTGTTAGTTAGTTTTATATATTCTTATTTCAATTAAGATAAAAATCCCCTACTGAATATGCCAGTCCTAGCAATATATTCCAGTATCAAGTGGGATCTTCCTCAGTATAAAGATAATCAGTTCTTCATTAACTGAATTCTAAGGCTGCTGATGCAACAATTTGCAGATCTGTGTCCTTCAGAATTTATCTCTTGAAAGTCAAATGATTCGATTAAATATAAAAATCTCAATAAGGTAAAACTGATAAAATCGTATTTCAACATTTCCTGTGTAAATGGTCAAATGCATTAATTGTTTGGACAAAAAGAAAACCTGAAAGTTTTAGGACTACAAAAAGTCAAAATTATAAAGTTTCGCTTCAATTTATACAAATGCAATATTATGAATCTAAAAATAATTTTTCCATTGACTACTGTTGAACAAGGCGATGTTCATGTATATGTATATGACTTTCTTCTCTATGCAGGTTATTTTTCAAAAGATTTTGATATGACATGCAAGATAAGTGTATGAAAAAAGCAATTTAATGTATATGTAGCCGTGAGTACTTCTACAGGGAATAAGTAGTTGCGTTTTGCAAGTAGAGGGTAACTTGTTGGCACAGTGTGCTCTTTCAAAAATCATGCTACTCCATAATTGCTCATATTTTAACATAATTATTCTGCATTGTGATATGAAAGAGGTACATGCTGATATATTTATCTTGTTTGTAAACACGTTGAAATTCTGAAGGGGAAACAAACATAATTATGAAAATTTGTTGTTAAGATAGGGAATATTCATAAGTTGCCTGAGCTTGTTTTAAAACTTGCCGCTTCGCCACTAATGCGAAATAGCACACGTGGTTCAGTGACGGTTATAATCTCATACACATCAAAAAATCTATTCCTTTAATAAACATTGAGTTAAAAATGATTACATATCAAATTTTCTTTTTCAGACATTATAAAAAAATTGTACTGTATATCTAGATCTGTGCAGTGTCTCTAGATAAAAAAAAATCTCCCATATCAAAAATGTTATAAAGTGAATAAATCAGTACACGGTATACCTTAAAATACCATACAATAAAAAAATGCATAAAAAATCAAGGGAATGTTTTTACAATTAAAATATTTCATATCTAACTGCTGCATGTACATGTACAACACATTTGTCTAGTGTTTTAAACCCTTGTAACATGCCCTAAATGTATAATCGATACAAGCCGCCCTTCCCTTTTGCTTAGTTGAAAAAAACAAAACAAACAAACAAAAGCAGCAGCATGCACAATTTTTTTTTTTGTCAGTACAGGGGATACTATGAGACAAAGACAATGTACTATTATATTACAATTGAGTTCATTCTGGTTTGTACAAGATATTTTCTCGTTAATGCGTCAGTATCATAATCATATTTTTCCTTCAGAAACACCTGAGCCTTCCATTCTCATTTGAAAACTAATGTCGAAACTCATGTCAATCCTTTATAGCGCTGTTCTACGTGTATTGAAGCTTAATAGAAGAAAAAAGAGATCATTTCCTACAAACAAATGCACTCTAAGTACATGAAGTCTTTTCATTGGTGAAGGGCGGTCATTTCGTATTACTTGACATAAAAGATAGGATGTCCACAAAATTGAGGCTGATTGTCAGCAACGATAAAGATCAGAGGAAATAAACTTCCGGACTTTTATAGACTGTCGTCACACATAGACGTATTTCATTAACACCGAAGGTTCCTCTATTACAGTCTAACCATTAAGTCTGATCTATGGAATTCTGGCAATTCAGCTTTTAAAGTGCATATTTAAGGAGAAGATTTTTTTTTATTATGACTGACAAACTGCATAACTTGCTGTTTACCTACGTTACCAATATAAACATACTTGTCCAATGCTCGACCGCTCTAAGCTGCATGTACGACAATAAGAAATATGTTTACACTGTAAACAAACATAAATTAGCGCTCTCAAAATTTAGCGCAATGGTTCCTCTTCATCAATCAGATTAGCGCGCTGTATTTTTAAACAATATGTATGAGCTGTAATCATGTACCAATTTTTATAGCGGTGAAGAATTTGCGCGAAATAATAGTATTCAGCGATAGACTTCTGAACACACCAAGAAATTCCGGCTTACAATCTCTCTCTCTCTCTCTCTCTTTCACTCTCTCATGTTTCTATACATTTGAAACATTGACTAAATCACGACTAACAATTCAATATTAGTACTCACTTTTTCTTTGGTATGGAGAATGACTTGTAAAACAAATAAGGCGTTGTAGACTGCTCAGACAAAAATTCCTCATCTAGGTCTGATGTCGTGAAATTCATCTGTTCTCAATACACAACCAGATCACCATCTTCTACCAAAAACTAAGGTGTCTTATAACGTCAACTGTGTTATTGATCAAGCAGGACAATAATAGCATTCGTTAAAACGTTTGTACGACGACCAAAGTGTGTAGCAACATTGAGGTGACTCCCAGCAGCGTGGGGTACCCATCTGTTCAATATTTACCAAGTTTATAATGCAGTTTGTGAAAAGGCATTAATGTGTTTATACTGTTTGAACAAATTACGTAAGTCTAGGGATCGGGATTAGTTTAACAATATTTTCCAGAGTGTTTCTACCTCTATAAAATTTATATTCAGGAAGTAAAAATCCTTTGAGAAACGACTGTGTGTATATGAACGGAAAGTATATTAAAAAGATCAGAAATAATTATTATTAAAATATGAATTTTACTTCCATAAATCAATAAATTGAATAATTTGTTCATGATAAGAAATGATTTTGAATTCTTCCAAAGTTAATTTTTTTTAAAAAATCTTTTATTATGACAGAAATGTATCTGAGTGTATAATAATTATCATTCTTTTTTTTTAAATGGCTATCTTATTCAACAACTCGATATGGCGCCTTGCATGTATCTTTGGTATGCAGTATGTTTAAAAAGAGATTATTATGTATAATGAAAACGAAAGCAACTGCAGTAAATAATATCCTAAAGACTTGTATAAAAACTATGAAAATTTTAAATCGACATTTTGGGAGAAGACAGTTTTTTTTTGTTTTTTTTTTCCCTGAAAGCATCCTCCTACTAGTGAGTCTAAATATTTAACAAAGTAATTATAACAAATGAATTATACAATTCATCTAATGAAGAAATTAACATTGATACAAAACATACTAAAAAGGTATTTTAAATTCAATGAGAATTTCAATTTTTATATTTGATCTATAAAAATAAATGAATATTAGACCACTTGTAACTCACCTCTTTTCCGTGGATTTCAATGAAAAAGTCGCAATCCAGACATTTAGCTCAAGTTTTATGGAAGTCATAAAAATCACTTTAGCTGAGAGCTTTTTATTGATTTCTTCGCCTGTATTTTAGAGGTCTTCAATACATATAAATTTCTCTGTCGCTTCCCTCGGAAACAGTCGCCGATAACTTCGTGCTATATTTTCACTTTAAAAGCAGCAAAAATTTTATATGCGTGCAAAAATTCAATCGAAAGAAATACTCTGTCATTCTTTCATTCAATAAAATTTCAGAAAGTATAAAAATTATATTCCCCCAGGATCACTTCGTTTAAATGAATAATCAATTTTATTTCTGTATTAAGAGCATAAGGTGTAATTTTGGGATCAAACAATTGTATAGAACTTTCTTAAATAATAATTCGTAATAATCAACAAGTATGCAGGAAAAAACCAACTTTTTAAATGGTCATTGCTAAAAAATTATTGAATGCTGATATGATGCCACCAACTGAGTACGATTATACAACCCATGTAGGTACACAAAAGTTACACCTATATATTAAACCTTGTTCTTTTTTCTTCATATTTCTGATTAAAGGTCATTCCTCCAAGGAAAGGTAATGGACGTAATACTTCAAAACTGATAATCATAGCATTTTCTCCAACAATTAAGCGCTCTGGATCCTTAATCATAAATAAAAAGAAAATCATCTTGAATCTAGCGCTACTTTTCAATGAAATGCTACATAAGATTGTTCGAATTTTGGATGGACATCGATTAATATAAATAACTGTTTCCATTAAGAAAGAGGATTTTCTATTCCTGTCCTCTTTTTTTAAATTTGAAATGAAAAATGAAGACAATGCAATTTCAGAAATCGACGATTTTTTTTATTCATTTTCCTGATTGAATAGATTAAGAATTGGTGAGAACACCAATTTTTATGTTAAAACAGATCAATAATGTATCGGTATTCTATATAAACAGTCAAAGGATTGGTGAATACACCAATTTGAATTATCAAATATCTTCAAATAAAGATTGATCTTGGTGGTTCCACCAAGAAAACAAGAGTGAATTTGACCATTCTACAATCCATTCAAAGAATTGAGGAACTTGACAACAAAACAACTAAAATATCTTCATGAGAACTTGGTGATTCCACCAAAACTACAAATAGACAATTTGACTTAAATTTATAAAAGCGATCTGGTGAAATTCTCAATATTACTTTTAATAATGATGATACTTTTAAAAACGACTTTGGTGAATCCACCAGTTTTAAGACACTGAAACAACCCATTGAAAGAAAATGAGTGGTGAAGCCACCAAAAGAAAAATCAAAACAAAACAAAAAACAAAAAAAAACAAACTAAAATTAACCTTAATACAGAGTCGGTGAACTCACCAAAATGCAAAAATTCAACTAACAAGACATTCATACTTTCTCTTATAAATACTTGGTGGATCCATCAAAAATACAAACAGGAATACACAAGAATACTTGAATGATATGCTGTAAACATTACGCGTGTATTTATTAGTAGTGGGGAGTTTGGTGGATCCACCAAAAGCATTAAAATCAAAAGGCATTCATAAGTTTCCTTTACAATGACTTAGTGACACTTCCTTAATATGTTTATATACAAAAGGGCAAAAGCTGGTGGATCCACCAGAAAAGTCAAAAATCTACAAGTAACCCAAAGTTCGACTAAATTGACCTTAAATACAGAGAGGAGTTTGGTGGACTCACCAAACTGTAAAAAAAATCGAATAAGAAAGCATTCTCAATTTCACTTACAAATACTTGGTGGATCCACCAAAATACAAACAGGAATACACAAGGATATCTGAATGATATACTGTCAAAATTGCCTTTGTATTTATTAAAAGTGGGGGGTGGGGTGGTTGGGGGATCCACCAAAAGCATTAAAATCAAAAAGCATTCGTAGTTTTCCTTTACAAATGACTAAGTTCCTTTTTATGCATTAGGACAAAAAACTGGTGGATTCACCAGAAAAGTCGAAAATCTACATCTTTACTTTATTATGATACATTCGGAATTCAACAATAAGTGGACCTATCAACACATGATCAAAATAAATATGAAATACAATGTCAAAGTTCAAAAACAAATGTGCAGTCTCCAATTAAGGCACAATATTATATAAACAATACATAAAAATAACCCTCCATATGCCTCCATATACTGTTTTATCTGCACGCTAATAAATAGCTGAATGAAACACTTCTTTAACTCATGTTTTATAAACGAAAAAATACTTTGTTTCTTAAACTTCCCTTGCTATTTGAAAATTTTCCGTGCCTGCACCTACTGCACGTCCTGTAGTGGGGTGCGAACCCACGACGTATGGATTAACACTTAGCTGCGTGATACTCGAGCAAACGCTCTTACCATTTCGTTATAGGAGCCTCAAAAATTATCTTGAGCTAAACATTTCAATTCATACACTTCTCTGATGAAATCTGTGGGTGAAGCAATCAAAATACAATAACTTAGTATTCTCATATAAATATATTGAAAACGTAAGAAATTAATACTGCACATGTCAAAGGGGCAATGAGCTGTGAGGATCATCATCAATTTAAATAATGAATACCGCACACACTTTACGAATAAAAAAAAAATAGTCCATGTTTTAGTCTCCTATAGATTATGAAGTCATTCTAAATAGAAGTAAAATTATACATGCAAGCTCAACACAATCACAATATGCAAAAGTAGAAATTATGCATTTTTGTCTTTGTTATCCCTAAGATTGATGGAAATACATTTGTATCCCTTTTCACAACTTTGACATGCTTTGCGAGAGTCAAGGTCCAAATTACTGACTGTTCCAAATTCTGTTTGCGAGGTGGGTTTCCTTGTTCCAGTTCGTAGGTAACATTGTGATAAAATCCTAGTGGTTGGGCCTTGATCTGTATCATTTGACATCTGATATGAATTTTCATTTACATGTTTTTAGCAATCCTTCCACTATGAACTGTTGAGTACTTCCCCTGATGTTTCTTGAATAAAAGGACCACTATTGTTAACCATTTTACGTTAAACTCGTCATCAGAATGTTATTATACCGATGATTTCCTGTTCAATACTGTTCTCTTGTCTCTTTATAAATGTATCTTATAGACATCTATGTGTTTTCTGTTTTTACTCGTTGGACATTTTGGTGGCTGCGGTCCTGCTGGGTTGTTTACCTCCATCTTATGCCCTATGATAGAAGTACATGAACAAAGTCTATGAATGGTGCACAAAATTCAAATGATTCTTATTTTCTGGGTTTTTTTTAATATGCTATAGAATTTCAAATTTTGAACAAGTAATTAAATTCATTTCCAGTAAACAGAATTTTAAAAAGAGTCCCATAGGCCACATCGCTGAAATCAATTAAGTATTGAAAAGTTTAAACACAAAAGTTGTCCCGACATTTGATCTCCAGAGCATTGCCCTACACCAGGCAGATGATTTGAACACATTTGTATCTACACCACCTGAGGATGCTTCTCAATAAATTTTACTTATTATACATTACGTATACATAAATTAACGCATTCAAATCGTACATGTGTGTTTGTTGTTGGAGAGAGGGCTACAAAATTATCTTGACAAAATGACTCTGCTTGAGAACACAGTTTTCACAATTTTGTTATTTGATTTATTTTGTTCTTTTTAATATGAGAACATTAACATGACTACGAAAAATTCTTACATAGGCCTGACTGCACCAGGTTTGTTCTCTGCTTTCAAAAATTGAGTTCTGGATTTTAATGTTCTAAAATTTGGGTTATTTGATTTTCACTTTCGAGAAACAAATTGATTTACAATAAATAATCAATTATTTCAATAGAATCTAAGCCAAATTTTATAGTTGGATGAGAATCACTAGCTAGAATTTTATCTTTAATTCTAGCAGTTATAGATTTAACAACAGTAGGCTTTGACTCTCAGTACTCATGATCTAAAGTGAACATACTTTGTTTTTTTTTTTTTTTTCATAATGCATGAAAATGAAAAAAATTCCAATCCCATTCCCTATAGCCCCAATTAAACAAATAAATACTAGTATATCCTGAATTCTTTGTTTTCTTTGAAAACGTTTTTTTTTTCACATTAGAACCCGGAAATATTTGTGCTTGATATAAAATATA